TTGCAAGTGGATTTATGAATCCGACACACGAAATAAGTTAAGTAGTGCTCTAAATGAAATTAATCATTAAGTTAAATTCGTCAGTAATTTAATTTATTGATTAGTATCTGAAATCTTAACATGGGGAATTACATAAGTGTTTAATGGAGAATTACGAAATATAAATAGAGGAGTGCAATTATGAATTTCTAGTGGAATGATTTGTAATTTATTATGGTAAGAATAATTCAAATTAATTATTTGGAATTATTTCCATAATAGGAAGCCTCAGTAATTAATTATGTGGTCCCTCCAGTGCCCATATTTAAGTAGAACTCATAATCTTATTTCTTAGGGGGGAAAGGAGTAGGCGTGTGTTTTCTTGTTTTTCAAGAAAACTGGGTTTTCTTCTCCTTTTTGGATTGGGGAAGAAATCTCTATAAATAGAGATTCTCCTAATCTAGAGAAATATTGATTAGTTTTCTACTCATACTTGCCCACCCAAGTATTGAGAGAGTTCGGATGTGAACTTGGGATCACTGTAGAAGACCATAGTTGTTGTCTATTTTGTAGATTCGCTTGAAGGTTTGTTTAATTTGGGGATTCGCTTGAAGGTATCTGCTCAAGCTTCAAGTAGTATTTATCGAATTAAATTTCAGCAAGTTTATGTGTTCTAACATGATTATGTGCTCTAGCATAAACAATATTGGTTTTCTATTATTCATGTAAACAGTAAGATCCTGATATGCTTCCGCTGTGAATATAGTTTTCCAACAAGACCAACATTCTACTCTTTACACTCTCTCTTTTCACACTAAAGCAATGCATACCAAAACTTTTCTTTCTTCATGCATCGTACTTTTTCTTTTGTTCTCACTTTCATCTTTCAATGTAAGTAACTCTTATGTTCCTCTCTGTTTCTGTTTCTTGAAGTAATCTTCATTTGGTTTGGTACAAAATTTGATTTGGATTTGGTTTTGACCAAAATTATAATAGAAAAAATCGAATAATTAGGTATAACAATTGTAACATTATGTACTCATGGTATGGTGCCAATGCAGGTTGTTGTGGCTAGAAATGGAGACAAATCCGGGAACCCATTTACGCCAAAAGGTTATCTGATTAGATACTGGAAGAAACATGTGTCAAATGACTTACCAAAGTCATGGTTTCTTCTCAACAAGGCATCCCCACTGAATGCTGCACAATATGCAACTTACACTAAACTTGTTGCTGATCAAAATGCACTCACCACACAACTTCAATCCTTTTGCTCTTCAGCAAATCTCATGTGTGCACCAGATTTGTCACCAAGTCTCGAAAAACACACAGGAGAAATCCACTTTGCCCCTTACGGCAACAAAAACTTCACCAATTACGGAACCAAAGAAGCTGGAATCGGAGTGAACTCCTTCAAAAACAATACTGAGGAAGGAAATCTCCCTACGAATTCTTTCAGGCGCTACGGTAGAGATTCTCCCCGTGATAATCAATTTGACAACTACGGCCCTGATGGCAATACACCTGTCCAAAGTTTCAACAGCTATAGCACAAAGGCAAAACTAAGCTAGAATATGAGTACTCATTTCATCCCAACCGGACCACCTCAACTACAACATGCATAGAAATCAAGCCAACATAATAGTTTTACAATACACTGCTCATACAACTTAACAATCACAGCCCAACAGTCACAGTTCAACAACCAACAATATCAAGTATGTCAATCATAAGTATCAAGTAGATCAATCACAATTATCAAGTTTCAAGTAGATCAATCTCAAGTATCAAGTTCATCAAATCATAATAGTCAAATACGTGTCATAACCCTTCCCATTGACACAATATCACTAGCCTGAATCATTTTCCATCGGCTTTATATAGTATCACTTGCCGGAATCATTTTCCTTTGGCACAATATCACTAGCCATAATCATTTCCCTTCGACTTTATCATCACATGTCTCATCAAGATGCACAAAAATCAATGCAAATAAGTAATTTCACGCCATAAGAAAAGACAATAACTCAAACAATTCAAGTCCGCAATAGTGTTATCAAAACATTTCATCAATCAACAAATTAGGGTCCACAATAAGGCAATACACAAAGCACAACTATCAACACACTGTCTTTTTCATTAATTCCACATTTTATTCATTAAGATCATCAAGTGGGATAATTGAGCCCGTCACCCCATTCACATTACTCTCCAACACACACAATGAAGAAAATACAAGATTCTACAAATTTTACAAGGTTTAGAAGTTCACTTATTTCTATTGAATCAAAAGTCAATATGAGACTTGAGCTTTTCCTTTTCGAACAATGTCCAAAGCCACACAATCTAATCCGACAAGTAGTCACAATAAGATTTCGGAAATAACAACACCTATATCATACACATTAAAAAATTAGTCAAATCAACTCAAAAATCCAATTCTAAAAATGTGATTTGAATCCAAGAATCTTTACTTGAAAATGTTACCCAAGACATTTGTAACTCATTGGTGAAAGTCATTTCAAAAGAAGAGTTAAAATCATTAGACAATCATCATTTTATCAAGTTCTTGAAGAAACCCCAAATTATCATTCCAAAAATCTTAATTTGAATGCTTAAATTCATTAATAACAATGGGTAAATGAAGATTTAAGATTACGAATCGTTACCCAACTGTTTTTTCTCAAAAACCTTGTTTAAATCGCCACACCAAAGCTCCCCAAACTCTAAAAATTGTGAAATATGGTCAAAAACCCGATTTTGAAAAACATTCTTCTGAGGTATGAAATGTTCATCGCGATCGCGTTGAGTTAAAAAGGTCAATCCCCTTACGCTGACCATCGCGATTGCGAATGAGCTTCACGCAATCATAATGCACACAGAAAATGCTCTACGCAATCGCAAGAGAAGACCACGCGATCGCGATGAACAAAATACAGTGCACCAGACAACAGAAACCAACGATTTATATAAGTCATAAAAGTTTTCGAAATGAATTTCAAGATTCGTTCGGAATTCCGTTCACACAGATCATATATGCTACTAGACTAAACTCGACGTTTCGAACTCAATGGAATGACCGAAACACAATTCCGAGATTTCTTTGGCCCGAAACTCATAAAAGTCACCAAAACAAACATACCACATAAAAAGGCTAAATCAAGCTCGAGATCTATGAAAATTCAACCAAGACCTCTCCTAGGCCTAAAATCATCCCCTGAATCCAATGAAAATGTCGGAAATTCAATCCGAGCATCCGAACTCCGAATGTTGACCATAGTCAACTCAAAGGTTAAAATTTCAAAAATTTCCAACTTAGAACCTCAAATCCACGAAAAGACTTTGAATCTGAAACCGACAACTCTCTTAGACCAATCTCCACATTTCGGGACTGATGGAATTAATGAAATTACATTCCGATACTCGAAACTCTAAAAGGCATCGAAAATCACTTCTTAACAACTTTAGCCTTTTGAATTTAAAACTTTCAAAATTTACAACTTTTTACTCAAAGCTCGAAACCAATTTCAAAATCCAATCAGCAATGACTCGGGGTCGACAACGAGAGTGGTAAAATGGTAATTTTATTAAAAAAAAAATTAAAAAATGACATTTCGAGTCATTACAAAAAGAGAGAGTTGAGACAAAGAAAATATTACAAGTCACCAACTAATTCACTTTACAAAAGAGATCAGTAGTTATATGTTAAAGGAATGTGTTCTTTTGGTGGAACTTGGACTCTTCGACTAATCTAGAATTGTTTGAGTGGTACGACATTGTTGGATTGTTGTATTCTGGAAGGGACAAGTTTAAGAGATATATGACTGGAGTGTAGATTATACACTCTAGATTATACCACAATGAGCTTGAATCTCTAAAAAAAAAAGCAATATATTTGTACCTCAACCTCAATATTTTTTTTATTATTTTATTTTCAACTTAATCTCACCCACATAAATAAATCACGATATTTTTTTAATTTAATCATTAATTCCTACATCTTGGTTATTTACCAAACCTCACACAAAGTTAAACTTCTAATTAAATAGGATTTGTGAATCATGACATATATATTGCGTATATAATACATTTGCATGACACGTGAAGCTAGAAATATAATATATTTAAATTATTTTGATATCACCATCAACATAACCTTTTTCCTGTTTTTTCTTCTATCATTACATGTGCATTTAATTTGCTAATAATAATGGAAAAGAGGTGGAGGCACTATCAACATTGAACTTAATAGGCCCCCACCAAGAGACAATAAGGAATTAGGGTCCTACGATCATCTTGTAGTGTTTCTTATCAATTAAAACGTGTCATTTAGAAATATTATTATTAGTAAATACAAATAAACGTAAAAATATCCAATTACTTTTGTATCGCAAATTATATCAAAAAGAAAAAATAAAGTAAGAAAATGAGAAAATGCTAAAAATATGTTTGACCAAACTTTCATTAATCTTCTCATAGCTAGTTTGCCTAAACTTTCAAAATTTGCTTCTTCTGAAAAGTATTTTATCTTTATCAGAAGTGCTTTTGCAAAAGGTAAATATAAAGAAGGAAACTTACCTAAATTTCATTAGTTTAGGAGCTAATTATTTAGATATAATTTAGTTTGTAATATTTTATGTATCTTATCATTTTTTTACCTTTAAATACGACCAGATGCATATATCTCATATACATGAGGTCAAATTTAGACGTAATTTATTCTAGATACATTATATGTAAGTGAATTTGAATGTATCTGGGATACATAGAAAATCTCGCTCGTCTCCCTCGCCTCTCTCTCATCTCGCTTGTCATTCTCGCACGTATAATCTGGTATTCCAGAACATCATATACATGTGAATCATTTCAGATATATACATATACATGTATCTAGTATGATTCTCATGTATCTAAGATACATACGAATCTCGCTCGCCTCTCTCCCTATTTTTGTGTATCTGGTAGCAAAAATATATGTATCTAAGTATAAGATATGTAGGGAACTCTTAATTAATGGTAAGATACAAAATATTTTAAAAATAATAATAACAATAATAATAATAATAATAATAATAATAATAATAATAATAATAATCTTCTATCTATATATAAAAGGAGAAGAAAAAAATTTCTATATATAAAAAGGAGAAGAAAAATTGACACATGTCATTACCACAATTTTTTAGAATTTTAAATTTTAAATCATTTTAAATAATTATTTAAATTATTTACTGATTAAATAATCAGTAATAAATAATTATTTAAATAATTACAAGCTGATAGATTTTGCGGTAGTTACACAACACTTTAAAAAATATATATATTAATAATTAATTACAAAACAAGTTGATAGATTATGCGGTAGTTACACAACAATTTTTTTTTTTTTTTTTTATAAATAATTAGTTACAAATTATTATTTAACTATTACATCATCTATCTACAAATACTTAATTTTAATTACAAAAGCTTAAATTTTAAATTAATATATACAAAAATATTCGACTGTAACATCATATGTTATAAAACACATAATCAAGATAGATACCAAGCAATATTCGATAAGACATTATAATTAATTAAACATAATCACCAATGTACAAATTTAATGCTGTTCTGAACACCTACTTGGCCTGAGAAACAAAACTTACGAAAAGTTTCCGGAATAGCGCATGATGAGCTTCACAATGAAACTTAAATAACTCAACTATCATGGTTAACTGGATCAAGGCAGCTTCAAAATCAGAAGATACGTACATAATTTTAATTACAAAAGCTTAATATATCATTATTTTGTATTTATAATTTATACCAAACAATAAATATATTTTAACAGATAAATACAAGCAGTTTTATAACTTCTCAATAACCATCCAATAAACAAGAAAACTTAAACTACAATTATTCACTGCATCTATAAATTTCCCTACTATATATAGACATCTTTCGGTAATAACTTTACATACCTTTATATTGTTCGTCGATTGTTCTGCGATATTCAGTAATATAGATGGTTTTACACTTTCACACAATCTCAGAAATTACATCTAAATCAATGCACTGGAACTTAAAAGTTCATGTTATTCGATTGTGGATAGTTCCTAATAAATTCAAACCAGAAATACCTTACTCTTTGGAGATGATTTTACAGGATGAAAAGGTACTACTCATACAAATAGTTTGTATATACTTGAAAACAACTATATCATAAAACAATATTTTATTTTATTACAGGGCGATCGTATTCATGCATCACTTGAAAAGACAGTAATTAAGCATTTCAGAGAAATTCTATATGAACTTGGTGTTTTTCGGATGAATTACTTTGTGATTGCCCCAAACATCATGAAATTTAAGACAACAACACACAAACACAAGCTTAACTTCACTGTGACTACAAATGTTAAGGAAATTCAAGATCCTTCTTTTCATATGGATATATTCAATATCCGCACCTTTGACCAATTGACAATTCATCACAATGTTGATGAGACTGAGCTTTTGGGTAATAATGATATGTTATTCCATTCATTAGCTTTTAAATTTACAAAATTAATAATGTGTTTTATTTGCAAATGTTGTTGGACATGTTGTTTCATATCAACCAATTCAACAGATAAAGCAAGGAGATAACAATAGTTATTTCATCAATATTGTTCTAGAAGATGATAAGTAATTATTTTAAATTCATTTTATCCTTTTATATATAGATAGATATTCATTTATATATTAAAATGTAATTAAAATGTCAATTTATGTGAAAAAAGTGACAACAATCCATTCAATACGAAAAGTAGTTAAAATGACTTAAATTACTGAACTTTTGATCACTAAATTTACTATCAATAAAACTTTAAAATTCACTATATTGGCCTAGAAGGAAGAGACAATAACATTTTCAGTCCCACAAACAATTGTCATAGACACTCATATACATGAAATCAATAAGATAAATGTTTCATCTTGGGCATTTTTGCTTTCAATAAGTAAATTATAAAGAAATTTTAATGAAAATATGTATAAGATCTTTAAAATTATTTATAAAAACAATATATTAAGTATGTATATTAATAAAATATATGTATATAATTCATCGGTTCGGTTATTTCTTCGATTTTTTCGAATAAAACCATAACCAAACCAAATACTATCGTTTTTCAAAAATCTAAAACCAAATCAAACCAAATCCAAATAAAATCGGTTTTATTTTATCGGTTTGGTTTGGTTTGGATCGGTTTTTATCCAAACCGTGAACACCCCTACTTTCAACTATACTCTTTTAGAACTTTGTACTATAAATTGTGTGCATCAAACCAAATATACACACCAACATTCTACTCTTCACACTCTCTCTTTTCACACTAAAGCAATGCATACCAAAACTTTTCTTTCTTCATGCATCCTACTTGTTCTTTTGTTCTCACTTTCATCTTTCAATGTAAGTAACTCTTATGTTCCTCTCTGTTTCTGTTTCTTGAAGTAATCTTCATTTGGTTTGGTACAAAATTTGATTTGGATTTGGTTTTGACCAAAATCATAATAGAAAAAATCGAACCCAAACTAATTAGGCATAACTATTGTAACATTATGTACTCATGGTACGGTGCCAATGCAGGTTGTTGTGGCTAGAAATGGAGACAAATCCGGGAACCCATTTACGCCAAAAGGTTATCTGATTAGATACTGGAGTAAACATGTGTCAAATGACTTACCAAAGCCATGGTTCCTTCTCAACAAGGCATCTCCATTGAGTGCTGCTCAATATGCAACTTACTCAAAACTTGTTACTGATCAAAATGCACTGACCACACAACTTCAATCCTTTTGCTCTTCAGCAAATCTCATGTGCGCACCAGATTTGTCACCAAGTCTCGAAAAACACACAGGAGATATCCACTTTGCCTCTTACGGTGACAAGAACTTTACCAATTACGGCACCAAAGAATCTGGTGTCGGATTCAACTCCTTCAAGAACTATTCTGATGAAGGAAATTTCCCTGTGAATTCTTTCAGGCGCTACAGTAGAGATTCTCCCCATGATAATCAATTTGACAACTATGCCCCTGATGGCAATGTACCTGACCAAAGTTTCAACAGCTATAGCAAAAATACTCCAGGGGGCTCTGGCCAATTCAATAATTACGACCCAAATAGCAATGTTGCCAATATGGGGTTCAATTCCTATGCTGACAATGGAGCTGGTTCGGTCCAAAAATTCACAAATTACGCCCCAAGTGGGTCTAATATCCCTAATATGCACTTCACTTCTTATTCCGACCACGGAACGGGAGGGGAAGAAGAATTCAAATCCTACTCAGACGATGCAAATGGTGGAGTCCAATCTTTCAAAAACTATGGCAAAGATGGGAATGGTCCTAATGGTAAATTCATCGAGTATGGAAACAAAGCCAATGATCCTCAAAACAATTTCAACAACTATGGCGTTGAAGGTAATGGTATATCTGAGACTTTTACTAACTACAGAGATCAATCAACTCTTGGCGATGACAAGTTCACCGTCTATGTTAAGGACGCAAATGGTGGTGAAGCAAATTTCACCAACTATGGTCAATCTACCGATGAATTTGATAACGGTACTGATGAATTCACTACCTATGGCGAAGGGGGTAATGACCCACATATTAATTTCAAAACTTACGGAGTTAACAACAACTTCAAAGGTTATGTCAAAGACACTGCCACATTTTCCAATTACCGAAAGAAAACTCCCCAAGTTTCGGCTTCATTGACCGGTGGCAAAAAGGTGAATAACCGGTGGGTTGAGCCCGGAAAGTTTTTCCGGGAGAAGATGTTGAAGAGTGGTACAATCATGCCTATGCCAGATATTAAGGATAAGATGCCTAAAAGGTCATTTTTGCCCCGGGTGATTGCTGCGAAATTACCCTTTTCTACCTCAAAGATTGATGAGCTGAAGAAAATCTTCCATGCCGCCAATGATTCTCAGGTGGCAAAGATTATCGGCGATGCTCTCAGTGAATGTGAAAGAGCACCGAGCGCCGGCGAGACGAAACGGTGTGCTAAGTCAGCTGAAGATATGATTGATTTCGCAACATCAGTATTGGGTCGAAATGTGGTGGTTCGAACGACTGAGAATACAAAAGGATCAAATGGGAATATCATGATAGGAGCAGTCAAAGGAATCAACGGTGGAAAAGTTACAAAATCAGTATCATGTCACCAGACCTTGTTCCCTTACTTACTGTATTACTGTCATTCGGTTCCTAAAGTCCGGGTCTATGAAGCGGATATTTTGGACCCGAATTCAAAGGCTAATATCAATCACGGTGTTGCCATTTGCCACGTGGATACTTCTTTATGGGGACCCAAGCACGGAGCCTTCATTGCACTCGGGTCGGGACCCGGGAAAATAGAGGTTTGTCACTGGATCTTTGAGAATGACATGACTTGGGCAACTGCAGATTGAGCCAAGGAGTAAAACTTGGTTTTAATAAATATTCAAAGTTTCTATTGTTCTCTCTATATTTGGGCAAAGTAATGTAGCCCCTATGTTCACTTTTATTCATCCACAAAGGATTTTGCACTCTTTGTAAGAAATAAATAAAATAAATAAGATGCATATTTTAATTATTATAATATACATAATCGAGGGTCCCTCTTATAGTAATGTTGTCGATTCTCAAAATCCTAATGATGTTAATGCTACTCCTGAGTATGATAATTGATTATTCTTATGCTTTCTGATGATGCCATGCTTGATGAAACACTCCTTCACCATGGAAGTGAATGAGGATTTCCCTGGCAACAATATGTAGTTGTGAAAATTAATCTAAAGTATTTTATCGTGATTTTGACTTCAAAACTTTCACATTATACAAAACGTCAAAATCTAAAGTAAGAACCCTATTCCTCTTCATTTTCTCTCTATTTCCACTTAATTTTCTCTCTGTAGTGCACTTATATAGTTCTTTTCATGTTAGTTATTAGTATTTGTTTTATAAGCATTTTCTTATTGGTTAAAATAACTGAAAACCGAACTATTAATTGAACATTTGAACTTCTTAATTAATTAAAATTCTTGGAGTACTATGACATATTACATGTATTTTTGCTGATAATAAGGAATTAGAGTCCAACGAACATGGAAATAGATTGTCTTTGTATAAGCAAAGATGCAGAGTACCGTTATCGAATTCATTAAAACCATTACTTTTTTATGTGATACATATACTTATGTAAAAAACCCACAAAATTACAATAAATAGTAGATATATATACACTCTACTTAAAATATAATAAATTCAATACTAAAAACTTTTAATATTAAACCCGTTTATATAACTTAAATCCTGAATCTACCCATAGCATGTTGTATCGAAATGGAAAAATCAAGAAAGAGCGTAAGAAAGTGCAAAAATAATACTCCTAATAAAAGGGAAATAAATAATGATGGAGACCCTTAAATGCCAAAGAGAAATAAAAAACAATGAAAAATGTGTTTTCTGCCAATTTCAGCAAAACACATTATTTTCCTACATAAATAATAAATACACTTCATATTTATTTTTAGAATTTAATACATAAATAATAAATACACTTCATATTAATTAGATATATATAAACAAGAAAAGAGTCTGGTTGCCAAAGTCCAATACAAATCCAAAACGAAAAAAAATATATGTGGATTTCTATTTTCTAATAACTCATTTCTTCATTTTCTTCAATATTGTCTCATCAACATAAGTTTTCTTGAGATTAGTATTCATGTTTAAATTTTCAAATAATAGACTTATCATTTATAAATTCTAAAAAGGTATTTCTATCATATCATTTGAAATAGTACTGTAGGAAAAATAATTAATATATCAGCTTTCAATAAAAAAGATCATATCTTGAGTTTAATGTTTTATTGGCGTCGTAAAAAACATAATTATGTGCTATTATTTGATTGATAAAAGTGTTACGACTCAATCCACTAGGTCGTGCGGGCACCCACTCTAACATCTAAGTAGGAGAACCCTCATATCCCAATAGTAAAAACATGTGGAAATTTTAAGAAAACATGAATAAATATGACACTATGATTTTATAAATAACGCCTTTAGACACACTATTAGATAAACTTGTAAGGTAATTTAAACCACTCCCAATGGATCTAGTCTAAACAGGTACAAGAGCTACTAAAAGAACAACTGGACAAGATAAATAAAAGACACAGCTCCCACCATGCAGAAGGAAGAATAGAAGCTGTTGGAGATTTTCTTCGTCTTCACCTAATGAAACGTCACCAATCCTGCATCCAGACTATGTCAAAAGACATAGCAAGAGTAGTATCAGTACAAAACACACGTATTGGTAGGCATCATCGGTCAACCCAACGCCCACCACATAACATAAGAAACCAACTAGTAAGATCATGGAATAAACCACTCGCTTCTCCACCTTCACCCCTTTCATTGAAATACCTCCAATCACACTAGTCATTCTAACTACTAACCCCTTTTTAATCAACCCACTTACCAGATTTTTGATCATAGCTTAACCATTCTAAACACATAAGAAATTTCCCAAGTACAAACACCACCCATATCAACTAACCGTACACGTCCTCCCTTACTTCCTCGTCACATTACCAACCATAATCACTTAATACAATGATTCAAGCTTCTTAACACTAACTCAATTTCCTTCCCCCCAAGGTGAAATCCATCCAGCAATTTCCTCCACAAACACTATCTCTACTCTCGCCATTACAACCCACGACAACCCACTATAAATCGTCATACACGGGTCCACTAAGTACAACATAAACAAACCAATACAATACTTTACTCACAAACGTATATCAAGCATATACAATATTGTCAACAAGTATATATACACAAACAACGAATAACTCACTTTTATATCATATCATTGGTCCTCTCATGGAACCCAAACTTAAACAGTTAGCATGCCGGAACGTGGCAATCGATCCCAAGTTAGTGTGCCGGAACGTGGTAGCAGATCCCATGTTTATGTCGGAACATGGCAATTCGATCCCATATTGTGCCGGAATGTGGCAATTCGATCCAAGTTAGTTATGCCGGAACGTGGCAATCCGATCCCATTCACACACCACAATCACAAACACAAGTACATCATCAAGATCATACATTTAAGTCATGATTTCATGGTAATGATATTCATCTATCTCATTTACAACAAGTGTGATCGACATTGCAACATTCATACATACACAAGTATCATAATGAAGCAAGAACAAACATACATCACATAACATAGAATCACAACCATCACCTATGAATTACTTCTCAATCCCTATTGCATATGTAATAATTGACCATACTCCGCCCTAGTTCATCGATAGGATTTCTCATTAGGTTTTAATCCCCATTCATCATAATTCCTCAATTTCGTCACTTCAATTATCAGATGTAGCATACATTCATAAATCTAGTTCCACTCTTGATTTCATGTCCTCATTCTCGACCCAATTCTATCCATGATGGCAATTCTAGGTTTTTCTAACCGCTCATCAATTCCTCCTCACAAAGCATAAACCCACATACTTTGAATCCTAAGGATTATTCATGTAATTTGCTCGGTGCACGAAGGCCTACACACAACCCTACCATTGATTTACATATATCACGTAGTAAGCACATATTTAAAACTACTCAATTGTAAAAACCTAGCTACCTGGGCGCCAAGCAGTTGTACGGAGTTTTTGACTTTGGTTCGAGTTTTTCCGGGTTCGTGACGGTGAATTTAGTTAAGAATTCATAAGATTTCGCCATCCCCACGCTAGAAATCTCCTTCTCCTTCCTTCCCAAGCTTAGAGCAGCTTTTCTGAGATTTCTAGGGTATTTTACGACTCATTTAGGTATTTTAAGGAGATGGAGGAAATAGAATTTCTCATAATTTACGTTCTGCCTCGCTTATCCCGCTCTGGCGCCAACTTACCCTGCCCTAGCGGCGGCGCCCCAGCGGCACCTGGCCCGCCCTGGCGGGTCAGTGGCCCAGATTTTCTCGAATCTTTGCTTTTCCTAATTAACGACGGTTCGGATCGTTACAAAAAGATATGTACATTTTCTCTTCTTCAAATCTTTTCCATCAGAAATTTCTCTTTGTGAGATATTCTTTGCCTATGTTTAGAAAAATGTGAAAACTACTATTTTCATTTTTAATAAATAAATAAACTATCAATGGAGATGTGGGCTAGTGAAAGTAATGGCGGTTTGAAAGTCTTATTCCATATTTGATACACATTCAAACAAAAGACTATTGTTCATTAAATTTAAAATCACCTTATTTTTACTTTTTAAAATTTTTCAAATTTAAAATATCTATTCATTTTCTGCTACTTGGCTAAAATTAGTTGTCCTAAATTAATTTTTTCTTAATTTCATTTTTAAATATATAGATTTTTTTTAAAAAACATTTGAAATTGAAAAAGATAGTACTATCTTATCTCTATAAATGAATGCAGTTAACTTCGAAATATTGCATAGGATACAAGGAAAAGAATGTTTATTATTCATAATTGATGAAAAGTTTATTTGTTAAAGTAAAGTTAAAAAAAATAATTCATCCAAATTTTAAATATTATAATGAAGAATCTAATACCTTTTATTCTAATATAGTTTGAAGTATTATCATTGTTTCTCAAGATCCAAAATATTTTTCCGTATAATTATTTTTCGAAAAATGAAAATAAATCAACTAACAAACTAAATCTTATGCTTAGCCTCTTTCTCTTTTTTGCTAGTACTAAAAAAATAATAATTAACTACTATAATTTAGATTGATCACAATAAAAAAATATTGAACTTTTGTAATAAAAGTTTACTAAGGAATCAAACAACTAGAACAACACTATTTATTGGATTTAAAAATAAAAAGGAATGATCAAAATAAAAATTATACTACTAAACCAACAGAGAGAACAGTTAAAAATAACTATGCCAAAAAAACATACTTTAATATACATGTTTTTAGCTAAAGAGGGTGCAAAGTTGGAATCGCTGAACTCCTTTTGTTATGAACAATTCCGCCATTGTTTGTCGTCGAGAAACTAGAAGCAGAAAAAGTCGGAATTTCTTTTGTTAGGCATACTAACCCAAATAGTAATAGTATATAGTATTGTAATCTACAATTAACGTCCCTCCTAACATTAGCAGTGGTACTACTTTGCCACTTTATTGTAATGATGTTTTTGTACCAAAAAAATAATAATAGTGATGTTTGATTTTTAGTAAATATAACTTTAAAAAATATAAATATATTTGTTTATAAAGAGTGTAAAATGGATAAAAAGAATTTTGCCTTTCACCGACACTAGCTAGAAATATATTATATTTTTGTTATTTTGATCTCACCATCAACATAACTATTTTTTACATTTATTTGTTTTTGTTTTCATCGTTACATGTGCTTTTAATTTCCTAATAATTAATAATGGAAAAGAGGTGGAGGCACAGTCAACATCGAACTCAATAAGCTCCCACCAATAGACAGTAAAGGAATTAGGGTCCTACGATCATTTTGGAGTGTTTTATCAATTAAATTAAAAAAAAAAAACATGTTATTTAGAGATATTGTTATATACAA